TATTAATCTGTATTCTTGAATTTCGCCGGAATATGCCTATATGATACTTTATTCTTCCATTTTTTCTTCTGTCTCCCACCCCTGTCCCCCTGTTTGTTTTCTTTTTGTCTTATCTCTTTTCTTCACCTTTTTTTCCCACTTTCCTTTTTTCTGTGAAAAAAATTCTTAAATAGGTCAACATGTCTGGCCTCTTAACCTACCACCCTTACAAATACGTATCTTAATAAAGATAGATATAAACATCTTCCTATCTCTCCTTTCCCTCTCTAATTTCGATCATATATCTATTGTATTCCTACTCCCCCTCTCCCTATCACCTTATATCAACTCACAGCTGCCTCCTCAAAAATATTTGTATATGAATAATAATATGTATGTTTTGAAACCATTTCTTTTCTGCATGGAAATCGGATCCAATGAACGAGGACGAAAATCCCATTCCTCGGAAAATGAACTATAATCATATGAACCCTTAAAGTTGTCTGTTTCTTAACTTATATATATATATATATATATATATATATATATATATATATATATATATATATATATATATGGGTGGATGGATGTGTGTGTGTGTATATGTGTGTGGAAACACTCGTTGATTCCAAGATATAACAAGGAAAGTGTGGTTAGCCCTACCATCTGAACCCCTGCAGATCAAAGGAAAAATATCATTTTTGTTGTCGCGGGACCTCTACTGATGAAGTAAGTACAACTTTTACTTTGGCCGTTCCAACTCAGCGCAAAGCTGATTTGAGCTCAACCATTTTAAACATTCTTATCGTTTCTTACCCTTACTTCTGGATCAGAAAAAGAAACCCGACATACCCAAGAGACATTGGAAACTTTGTTTCCAAAAAGTTTCTATATATAGAAAAAAAGAATAACCGGTCATAAACACAAGTATTTATTGCTTCTTTTTTAATTGTTTCTATATGAATTCACACACAAACACACACACCTACAAGCAACTTTAAATTCCATTTTTGTTTCTTTTTCGTTCTTAATGAAAGACAGTATTTTTTTTATTTTCATAGTTTATTAATATATATGGAAATATAATAAAATCATGTCAAACAGAATTAATTAACACCTTAAAATGTATTACTGTGTATATCTAGTTAATATCTTTTACTGAAAATAAGTCTTGAATTGGAAATTCAGACCATTTTAATCATTCTTATCTTTACTTATCGTAATTGGATTCTGGACCAGAAAAGTAAACAGACATACTCAAGAGACATTGAGAATTTTGTTTCCCTACAGTTTCCATAAAAAAAAAAAACAATAAACGGTCAGTAGTAGTAACTCCAAGAATTTGTTGCTTCTTTTTTTTTTTATATGTGAACACGTACATAAGACAGCCACACGCAAACTTTAAATTCTATACAGCTGTCAACTGATTGCTTATCATGTATTTTACAGTATGAAAGAAGGTAGAAATGCAATATATGTTTATCTAACTCTTTATTCGGAAGGAACTTATCAGGGAACTGTACTAAATTGGTTCAAAGCGTCCACCCTTGTGATCAATGCATAATTGCAGCCAAACTTTGCCAAGATTGAGACACACGTTCATCGGTTTGATATAAATTTTCTCAAAAGTTGCACTGGGTTGAGCCTTCAATTTCTGAGTGATAGGCGGCTTTTCACGATAGAATAATAAAAAGTCTTTCATGGGCGCCCAAAGAAAGAAATACACTTTACGGGGTAGAGGGAAAGGTGCTTCATGAAGTCATTGGCGAAAGAATTAACTAAGAAAATTAAAAATTGCTAGGCAAATTTTAAATGGTCTCTATTTTTGACTCTGCATAAGTGTCTCCAAGTGTACATCTTTGTCAGCCGGCTAAACCGATTTTTCTATAGGCTTAGCAGGCTGAAGTCTAGGGCCTCAAAATCTAGGGAGTCTCCAGCTAAGGTGCATAATATTTTTGACACTGTCATAGACCTTTCTTGCACATGCTTTCATAACACATTGTAGACTCTTTTAGCATCCCACTACCACTTTCTTATCAGTGTTGAATTTTGTACAAATCTGTGCAAAAAGAGGATTCCCACTTTGGATAAAGCATCATGCAGATTTTCAGGAAATATCAGTTTCTAATTGGTCAATAAACACACAAAGTGGGCGTTTTTTCCGCCCATGTACAAAATCACTTTTCCAGCATGACCAAATCAAGTTTTCCCATATTTTCTAAGAGCCTGTCACATGATTACATTAATTATAAATAGCAGACACAAGCTTTCTCACTCTCATCTCTTCTCTTCTCTTTTCCTGCGAATATGTAACCTTAAAGGATCCCGTCTCGGCCACGTTAAAAATACGAAAAGTACGAAATATCCAAACTACATTACAAACATACAAAACAATTCCAAACAAGCAACAAGAACTTTTCTCTTTGAAACACTTTTCTAAAGCTACAGTTTA